CTGCCGAGGTTAACTCAATTTGGCCCCGAATCTACAATTTAGAACACCAAGAGTTTTCGAATCACGCACATTTGCGTCGCCTGCAAGCATAAGACTGTTAAACATAACAAACTTCGTCATCCTACAAGCAATCATTCAATGCGCGCCGCCAACGATCATCACGACAAGAGTAAGCATGCTTGAAAAAACTAAGAAAATAAGACTGAAAATCAAACTTGGGCACGTTAAACAAAACAGAGGGCAAAGTTGACCTACACTGACGCGCATAATAAATGTAATGTCAAACAGAAAAGGTATATTAAACAGGGGCTTTTACTTAGCCTTATCTGTTAAAAAAAACACACTAACTGTTACTTTTGAAATATTATGAAAACAAAATTAATCAAATTAACATATCAATGTCAGTTTCTTCAATGAGAAGGAAAGTCAAACTTTCAAAAATTCAAACGCATGGCTTCCTCATCGGCGAGCAACACAACTAGAAAAAGTTATTCTCAAAACTAACCACGAAAAAATATACATTCTTGATAATGTCAAGATGGCACCCTCTCAGACGAACTCTGGGGAGTCGCGCACTCCACAGCTTCTGAGGGTTGCGGTCTGGACAAAAGGACGACGAATCAACCTGTTCGCTGAACTCAGTAGCAGCGACTTTTGACCCGCAGCCGCTGAACTCGAAGAAAGAGGCATCTGCACTGGATCGTTTACGCCGCCCGTTCGACCAGTAACCCTCTCGCCACGGTGGGGAACTACAGCCTTTGTTACAACTCAGAGGTACGCGATGTTTCTTCTCGTGGTTGCCTCTAGGCGGCTTCAAAATTGATAAGGCCAGGCGAACATCTCGGCGTCCGAATTTTCCCGAAAGTCGGTTTTTCTGAACACGCTTCCCGCCTAATCTTGAACTCAGTGACAGTCTGAGCTTCAAACGTTTCTTAGAGGGCCCTTTCGTGATCCTACGCCTAGCCCTCAAACTGGCGTCTCGACTGATGACGTCATGGACCTTAACAGCGGCTTTAGCGCACTTGGCGCCTGTCGTCTTTTTGGTGTTATGCTTTCGCCGATGCTTCCTTTTGACGGAAAGGCTAGGAATGCGGGCTGCTTCGACACACCTAATTTCAAGTGCGCTGCCTTTGACAGGCACTGCCAAGACTAGACTGGTTAGCTAGCCTTTCTTCGGGCCCGTTGCTAGCTGTCTCTGCTTGCGACAGAACGAGATTCCCGATGCCATCAAAGCCAACCAACACGTCTAGAGAGCTTTTGATCTCTGAGGGTCTATCGCTGTCGTGGATAGCCCTAATTCTCTGGCCTTCGAAATCGGCCTCATGCTCTCTTTGACGCGATTCATCCTGATCGCGTGCGCTGCGAAGCGGCTCCATCTCCAGTGCTTTCCGATGTACCTCGGCCTCCTTAGCTATGCGATGGGCTTCGGCCCCTAACTCCTCGCGCTGCGCCTCAACGTCTGGCTCTGTCAGGCGCACTTCGGCGGCTTGTGCTTCGCTTCTGTCCTTATCATCTAACACTTACCAGTGAGCGACATCATCAAGCTCCACGTGGCAGGCCTCAGCCTCCACCGTTTCACGTCGCACCTCATCCTCACGCTCTTTTCGGCAGGCGTCTACCTTTAGCGCCCTTCGACGCGCTTCAGCGCTGTCTCTATCGCTCCGACTTTCCCAGTCAACAGGACTTGAAAGAAAAAAATATCTTATCAAGGCATATCTAGCATGACTGAAGTCTCCTGCTTCCTCGAAGGGTAAGCAATTCAAGACATGCACGATCTTGCGCGGCAACAACGTGGCGAGTTTCTCCACCCAAAGGTCGCGGCTAACACCAACATTACAGCAGACAACTTCAAATTTATCCAGAAAATGCGCGATGTTTTCGCCTGTCTGAAAGTTGTGGAGCTGCTGTTTCGCTCGCTCCCACTTAAGTGCTAGAATTTTAAGATCAAGTTCTCTCATTTTGAGAGCATGCTCTCTCCTTTTGCGACTCTCTTCGGCCTTCCATTGTTCGTGCCTTTGAGCTTCTTGGGCCTTCTGCTTTTGCTCACAAATGAGCTCCCAAAACTCGTCAGCCTCATCGGCAGTCACATTTTCGGCCCGCATCACATCGAGAATCGCTTTCCTTGCTTTAGCGGACCCGGCGGAAATCCCCATGGCTTCACAAATTTGCAGGAGGTTCTGCACCAGGTACTGCTCCATCGCGATCTCGTTCCTCGTGATGCTCTGCTACTGATATTCACCGTACTCCAAAACTAATCTCATGGTCTAGAGTACGTGAATAAAAAATTACAACTAACAAAACACAAAACGCTCTCCTAACATCTGCCTGTGCTAGAGAGGTCTGGCGAAATGAACAGTAAACGTTGGGCACTCACCCAACCAAAGTAGCCGACGATGATCCAACTCGTGGCTGCCGTCGAACAGTGTCAGGCCTTCAGGGATCCGGTCCAACTTGCCAATGTTGAGATCCGGGGTTGCTTGTCCCAGCTTGCCGAACGATGTGAACAGGGTAGCGTATCGCAGCGTAGTCAAACGCTATCACGGCGGTCGTCCTCGTGCTCGGAGATCCGATCCAACTTTTCAGCCGTTGAGATCGGGGTAGCGGGTCCCAGAGTAGCAAAACGTTGAGGACAGGGGTCTGATCCGGTGTGCCAAACGTAGGATATCGTATCCCGAAGCTGCCAACCACTGTTATGAATTTGCTCTGTCGCGATGGTAGCGGTGGCGAAGAGCGGCGAGCCGTCGAGCGGACTTTGATGAAGCCTTAGCCCGAAGGTGAAACAGGGAGGCACTCCGTTTGGAAAACAGCAACAAAAGGAGCGTTTACTGTAGCAGGTTGTCGTTTGTACAGGGCCGGCCAGCACGACAACGTCGGCTGGGGCAAAATATCCTAACATGGGGCCGGCTCGGCCTTAAATAGCGTCTTTGGTCCATTCTCTCAGACCAGTTCCCGGGCTCGGAGGGGGAGACGTAGCCATACCCGGAACTGCAAAGTGGTTCGGCGGAGGAAGCGACGTTATCCCCGGAACTGCACGGTTCTTCTGCACGGAAGGCGGCGCTGGGAGGGGGGAGACAGTTCGTCGAAACAGGGCTCGATCTTGTGAGACGTGCTCCCGAACGAGGAACATGTCTGTGGCACAACAGCAGATGCTGCTGGAGCACCATCGTCGTCTTTCGTCGACTCAAAAGGCAGTCAGAGGCGTGTTGTACTTTTTGAAGACTACAGGCCTATGTGAACACGTTTAACTTTTGTGTAGTGCCACCGCTGCATACGGGTGAGCCCATTGACTGACAATCCTTTTTTTTTGTCTCTTTCTCTTCTCTTTCTTCTCTCTCTCTCTCATCTCTATACTCCCCTTTTCATTTCCCCAGCGACGTAGGGTAGCAAACCGGGAATGTGCCTCGTTAACCTCCCTGCCTTCTCTCTTGTTGTTCTTGTCCTCCTCCTTGCAGAAATGTAATGATAATACCTGAAACCGTGATATGATTATGAGACGCCGTAATGGAGAGCTCGGGAGATGTCGATTATCCGGCGTTCTTCGACGAGCGCTGACATCGCAAAGTGCACGGGCCTCTGGCACTTCGCCTCCATCGAAATGTGACCACTGATGCCGGGATCGAAACCGCGACCTTCGCGTCAGCAGACCATAACAACTACTCCACCAATGCGGGCACATGCGACAATGGGATTTGTACATTAGTGTACGTAGTATTCTTCCTATATGTAATGCTCATTTCATATCATTAACATATTTCCCAATCGTTAATGCTACTCCACTTGTCCAGGCACCAGCCGTAATGCGAGACAGTTAAGTACAGTAAGCATGAATTTCTCCAATTTCTCTTTCTAGCTACTAGCATATAATAAAACAAGCATTTGCTATTCAAATTACATGACGTCTTATTAGTTGTTTTAGTTACATTATAGTATCACTCAAGCCTCGCACTGTATCCGATCCAAATTATAAGCCTTTCACGAACGCAAAGCATGGATGGCTACTTCAGATACTATAGCACTTAGAATGACGCAAACCGGGCACAGAACTGTGTCTGTAGCGCTGTTCCCCGCCTCGATCTCCCGCTGTCTGCGTGATTATTTGCGTTGCTGTCTAAATTACGCGTTGCCAACCAGCCGCTCAGTCGGTCCTGTGATAAGGGTCGCAGTGTGGGCTTCGTTTGAACAGCGTTGATGTAGCGCGAGAGGCACCACTGCGGTGGTCTAGTGGCTAAGGTACTCGACTGCTCACCCGCAGGTCGCAGGATCGAATCCCGGTTACAGTGGCTGCATTTCCGATGGAGGCGGAAATGCTGTAAACCCGTGTGCGCAGATTTGGGTGCACGTTAAAGAACCCCAGGTGGTCGAAATTTCCGGAGCCCTCCACTATATACGGCGTCTCTCATAATCATATGGGGGTTTGGGGGCCTTAAACCACACATATCAATCAATGATGTAGCGCGAAAGGACGAGCGTAAACGGGAACTCGAATAAAGATACCACACTGTGATACTAGGAGAAAGGTGTTTATTTCCAGAAACTAAACCGCTTATATACCACTATCGCGAAGCAGACAGGTGAACACCTCGGATCACTAAGATGCGTGAGCAAGAAGAGAAAAAAGAGCACTCTACCTTAGCGAAACCACGACAAGTATAGTAGGGCGTTCATGCGAAAACCCCAACACCTTACGCGACAGTGATCTCGATGGCTTGCTAATACACACCTCATCAAGTGCATTGAGAAGTTGGGCTTCAGCAATCATACGAGCGATGCCCTCGGTATATCGACCAACAATAACTGTGTTGTAAAGCAAAGGTCGGCACCCATACGGAAGAGCACAGAGTGCAAGAAGCCCACCAGGTGCCGGTTTACTTGATATTTAATTGTGCTCTCTCTGTCGATAATAAACAAGTTGTGACCAGTAGCACTCTGTAGTGTGCTTTCTCGTGCTAGCGTGTCCTTTTACCCAACCTCAAAGCTTTCTCGTGATCTCTACGTTGAAGAATTCCTCCCCGCTCACGTTGGTTCTTGTGTGGCGTCGCAGAGAGACAGGAGAGGCTCAAGAAGGCAGCGTCGCCATCCCGCTGGCCGTCCAGTGGCACATGCGCAGTCTGGGGCCGGGGTCACTACCGAACTTTCGATGGATCGCTGTTCAGCTTCCGAAGCCGCTGCCGGCACCTGTTGGCCCACGAGTGTCGCGGCGACACATTCAGTGTGCACGTGGGTGACAGCCACTGCTCGAATGACAGTGCGAGATTCTTCTGCCGACGTAGCCTGGACATCTACGTCGAAGGGCAGCGCTTCGGTTTCGAACTGGACCCTCCTCGAGTGACGCTGGGCAATGTCTCCGCGCCGATCCCCACAACGCTGGAAGGGCTGCGTGTCGACTACGTCGCCCGAAGGATCGTGATTAGCAGCCAGCTTGGATTCACGTAAGTAGTAGTAGTAACTTAAAACTTAACTCTTCGTTTTGCTTGTCATGTCCGAAAGGAAGCACTTCAGTTTAACTGGCTCGAAAAAGGGTGTTTTCGCGTCTAGTGTACATAGTGCAAAGAATTGAATAGCTGAGATGAATCTACGTGAGCTTAAATGTAGAACAAATTGTCGTGCTTTTCCCACTTCTTTTTGTGTTAATGTTGCATGGCACACTTGTACGGGCTAGTTTGTTTCGCTTCATGTTACAATGAGCATTGCGAGTGGAACGGGAACAGGGAAAGGTAAGAAGAAACCAATTATGCAGGGTTTATTTCGAATAATATGATAGCAACTAGCCCGCAAACTTGTCCCGTTTCCATGCAACTCAAGCTGCGCAAAACAGAGACAAATGTGCCATATTTATTTTGCTTGAAAACTGCTCCACACATTAAATACCTGCTTGTGATTGCGGTCGCACTTCACAAAAGGATGGCAGGTACGCTGTTATTGTAAAGGCATCGCTTATGCAACGTCACTTGTCGAATTGAAGTGCGTGCACAAAGGCAATTAGTGCAAAAAATAATTGGACGGTCTAGAATATGCTCTATATAAAACCGTATTACGTGCATGCTTCTCTTCAAATATGCGTTTGTATAAATATAAGGACTTCCACCTCATCTCGGGTTTTCCTTTATTTCACTATGAATTTAGTAAAGAATGGTGCTTTTGAGGTACACCGCAAGTTACCAGTAAAACAAAGAAGAGATGATTGTTGTGTAACGGGACCTCCGTAATATATTTTTCAACCCAATAGGCAAATCTTTTTGCATGAATGAAATATAAATAAAACGTTCTGTAACACACGACACACTTGTTAGATGCACTCTCTAATGATAAAGTCTTATACTACTCCGCCCTTTCAGTGTCACATGGAACGGCGAAGACTTGGTCGAGGTTTCCGTGGACGCGTCCCTCAAGGGAAGCATGTGCGGTCTTTGCGGACAGTACGACGATGACCCGACGAATGACTTCGTCAACAGCCACGGTCGACAAGTCACCTCTAGGTCTGCATTCCTGGACAGCTGGAAGAGAAACGACCTTGAAGGTTAACAGTGGCTTTTTTTTTTGTGAACCAGAATTCGCCCGATAATACTCACGAACATGATATTAAGTTATCCTATGCAAATATATGAAGTGAAATAATATGAAGTGCAAGTGAGCTTCCAGTGAGTTCCGGACAAATAGCGCGAACTTGCGTAGCATCACTAAAAGTGCATTAAAAAAAAAACACTCTTTCATTATTCACGCACATGTATTCCTAAGGAAATATTACTCTTAAATTAAACGTTACGCAATTGTGACTGCACAATTACCCTATTTTTTTATGCAAGTGCTTTAGTTTTCTTCTCAAACTCATGGATATACATATATTTAAACTGATAGCCAGGGCACGCTAGTGTCCCGTGCAGTGTAAAAAAGAAATAAAGAAACCACTGCCATATCCACAGAGTGAATGATGTTAAAAGACCTTTTTCAGAGGTGCACGGGGCGTTTCTTGGCGAGACCATGCGTTTCTGCAGGAAACCGACACCATTTCTGTAGCCGGCGCATGATGTGATGTGTACGTCGAAGGCAGCGTTGTCAGGCACGCTGCGCGGCCGGCCCTGCACAGTGTTGGCCTCGTCGATCGGCACGTTAACCACCTGGCCTTTTATGCCATACTGGCCGCTGCCATGAGTCAAATGCTTAACACTCATAAACGACAGACGTAGAGATATCAGGCGTTCTTCAACAGGATTGAGAGCAGGCAGAGGACGGCGCTTGGGAGCATAACGGTACGCGTGCGCCACACTCATCGTATGAACTTGTCACGTGCTGTCATGCCTACTAAGCGACGAGAACGAAGTGGACGTAGTCGAGAGGAGGCGAGCGCGCGGGCTATTAGGTGGCGGCGCGCCATCTAGTAAGCATTGTTGGAATTACTGGAGAAGAGTTTTTGAGTGGTGACCGGAGAAGTGTACCTTGGCAACCCTGGTGTACACGCTGGCTGCTGCCGGATAAGGCGCGAGCATAAAAAGCTGGTCGAGCAAGTACACACACACACACACACACACACACACACACACACACACACACACACACACACACACACACACACACACACACACACACACACACACACACACACACACACACACACACACACACACACACACACACACACACACACACACACACACACACACACACACACGCACGCACGCACGCACGCTCGCACGCGCGCACACACACACACACGCGCGCACGCACGCGCACGCACGCACGCGCACACGCACACGCACGCACGCACACGCACGCACGCACGCACACGCACACACACACAAAACAGACACTTTAGGTGCAGAACTTAAAAGCGCAGTATCAATGAATCACACTTCATGAATCAATGCTACTAAGTTATAGAAGCTAGTTCTCTAGAAGATGACTGCTGACTGCTTGAAAAAGTAGGGGTAAACTATTTCAGGTGTTTTTGTCGCTTAAGTCAACTACCCTTTCGCAGCATACAACGTCGGTCATTATAGTCGCTAAAAAGTTGACTTCATTTTTCACTACAGAGGACTGTGAAGACATTTTCTTCGATCCATCCAAGCAGCGCCCCAGTGAAGAACTGGTTCTCGAAGCGAGGCGGCTCTGTTCCAGGGTCACAGATAAGAGATTCGCGGCCTGTCACAAGGTAAGCCGTCAAAGTTGTTTTTCCCTTGACTTGCGGCTAAATACCACGTTCAACACCACGTGTCATACTGACGACGTCCCGTCGGCGTTCAATATCGCTTTCTTTAAAGGTGGTGGATCCGAAACCTTATGGCGACATGTGCCTCGAAGATTACGTCTCGTGCTTGGGTGATCGTTCTGCCGACTGCCGCTGCAGCGCTCTGGCCGAGTACTTCCGAGAGTGCGAGCGTCTCGGAGGCAAGCTTGAGTCCGTCTGGAGGAGACACGACTTCTGCCGTAAGACGCTTCTGTGAGGTTATTTTGTAGCAGCTCTGTCTCGATATCATGCAAAGTGATGGTCTCATGGCACAACGACCAGTGACAGCATTGGCGCTGAACTACAATGTGTGTTCTGCCATAGCCTCCTAGATTTCCCTTGCCTGCCGGATTATCGGCGGTCACTTGGAAAGCGGCCGTCGTCGGAACTATGGTGATGGCGCCACCTAAGTAGGGGTGTCTTCAAATAATTCATTACGTTTTTGGAACTTATGTGCCACAAAAATAACGTAAAAATTTAAAGAAAGCGCAAACGTACTTTTGACCCAACGTAAGTGACGCCGTCATTCAATAAGCAACTCTTCCAATACAAAGCATAGCCTCTGAAGTTAGGAACAAACGCCAAAATTACCGATCTCGAAGGCCAAGTACAAAGACCCTTACTCCTACGTAGGCAGCGCCGCTATAGATGACCGGCGTTTCGCGCTCATCCGACAGGCAAGGGAAATCTAGGTGGCTATGGTTCTGCGTGCACACTGAAGGGCCTGATGCTGAAATTTGCACCACATAGCCGATCTTGTGAAATAAGCGCTACGTAGGAGACCAGGGCTCGTAATGTTGGGTCCGTTTATTTCCGCCTTGGTCCCCTGATTGCATTGTTAGAACGCTGTTTGCTAGTTACACCTCTTACACATGAGCCAACGCAAGTCTTTCACTCACTCTTCTTGTCTTCGTTTGTATATATGCGCAGACCCTCTCAGTATAGAGAGATGAGCATATCTGACGTTTATTTTCGAAGGCTACATAATAGGCGATTGGCTAAGGAATTAACTGTGTTCTGGAAGGAACACCATGCAGGCTTATTTGAAGTGGAGAAATAAAAGGAGAAATGCGCGAAGAAAGGAGATAAAGACCAGAAACAGTTTGGGGCAACATAACAGTAGTGAGAGAGCTAGATATGTCTGAGCACTATCTCAACTTATCTCAAATTACCTTATATAATCGTTATGGCCAGTATTCAGCGAGCGCTGGCATTATTATATGAATAAGCATGTATGCATCACAAAAAACTTGCGAAGTTTTAGTTATAGCGTTCATTATGATGTCAATAAGACAAAAAGGCACACCACACTGTATCCCATCTTAATCAGCTGTTTACGAGCATGATACATGGGTTCATACCGGTGAGGCAAAGTGTAGTTTTGTAATTTTTTTCTTTTTATTTAAGTGTAGTTTTGTGATCCTGGGGCCCAGTTGAAGCGAGACGTATCGGGAAACCAGGGAAAGTAGCAAAACTGGTAACGTTAGGCGTGAAAAATGCAAATAAAGCTCGCTGGTTCATTAGGTCCTGTACACGCGCTACCAACACAACCGCAGCGCACGTGCCGGGGCCACTGCCGCATCCAAGCAGAGGGCGAATGAGCGAATCAGCGACGCTCTTTCACCCTCCGCTTGGGTGCGGCAGGGGCACGTGCTTGCGGCTGTGCGGGTAGCGCGTGTAGATTCAGAGCCTGAATGTCCAACGAGACGAAATGTCCAATGGGTCACGTGACGGGCGCAACTGAATGTCCAACGAGCCTGAATGTCCAACCGAGAGTGAATGTCCAACGAGACTATATGTCCAACGAGCATGAATGTCCAACCGAGACTGGATGTCCATCGAGACGGAATGTCCACCGAGACGGAATGTACACTATTGGACATTCTGCCTCGATGGGCATTCCGTCGCGTTGGACATTCAGGCCGCAAGCGGCGCGTGTACAGACCTTTACGCATTCGTGAAGACGATTAGAAGCCGAACGCATTCATTTTTCTGTTCAGACGATGTATTGACATAAAGCGGTGATATCACGTGGTACGGCATCGCTTGACGTCATTATTGAATTACGTCACATATTTTGGCAATTTGTAACGTCATAAGACAACGTCATCACGTGATGATGTCTTTTGCTTCACTAATGTTGACGCCGCCGACGCACGACGCCGACGCCGTTGGCGGTAAATTATCGCGTTTGCTTAGGCATCCACGGTTTTCGCATAATAGTTATCGGTGCTCTAATATTGTTCTCCATCGCTCTCTTCGTTTTCTTCGGAGCAGCTGCTCGCTGTCCTGCTGGCATGGTGTACACTCAGTGCGGGGCATCGTGCACGCGTACGTGCCGCGACCCCGACGCCTCGTGCGAGTCCCGGCCCTGCGTGGACGGCTGCCACTGCCCCGCCGGGACGCTGCTGCACGACGGACGCTGCGTGCGCCGGGAACAGTGCCCGTGCTCCCTACACGCCAGGGAGTACAAGCCCGGCTCGCTCGTCAAGCAGGAGTGCAACAGCTGGTGAGCGCGGAGATAAACCGCAAAACGAACTGTATTAGCCGAAAGGTCTAAACGCAGTGAGTTGACATATTTATACAAGTCGGAATATTAGAGAAACAAGGAGGATAACTGAGAGAGGCGCGATCCTTATAACTGAACGACTGGACGATGTACTTTTAATGACAAGAATACAAATAGTAGTCGAACCCATCCGACTCGCGTATTTAAGTTTCTGAACGACATAGGCTCCTCAGCATATTTTTATGACTCAGTGTGGGTCCTTCCACTGTAAAATAGGGTCCACAGTTTTGGTCAACGCAGAACAAAAAAAGTGACGATGTATTCATTGATCTTTGATACTGTTGAAGAAACGTCACTTCTCAAAGTTGTAGCTTTAATTATTTTGAAGTTTATCACTATTCATAATTGAACATTTTATTGAAGCGCACTAAAAAAAGTGCTGTCCTTGTCAGCCTCTTCTGTCCATGTGTTTTTTAGTGCGCTTCAACAAAATTTTCAATTGTGAACGTAATCCGACTGGCCCAACTTGCCTACTTGCTTTACCACTGTCGTTGTATAGCCCCTTTTTGCACGCAGACATAAGTACGTCCGACGCGTTAGCAGGGTCACCTGCAAAACGAAGGGAATCTCTAAATTGGGCTTTTTCTCACTGTGAAAGTTATTGCAAAAAAGCCAGATTTCAGGGGGCCTGGTACCGTGAGAAGTTGTCATCGTTTTCCGAACCTTTCCCTCTCTCTCCTGCTCATATATCTGTTGCAGAATTTTTCGCTTAGAGCCAAGCACTCGCAAGTATAGTTTAATCTGGCGTGAAATTTGCTCCAATAGTACAACGCAAGTGCCCCACGATGGTTGCGCACAGTCACAAGCCTAGCTAGCGTTGCTCTGTTTTTCGTATGGCCCGATTTCAGCGCATCAATCAATCAATCAATCAATCAATCAATCAATCAATCAATCAATTGAAAGTAATCACTTGATTTTTGCGGGCTCGTAAGGGGTCCACAGCTGCTTCTTAGGTGATAGCGGTTCATTTTCTGCCTAAGTATAATTGTTGCTCTATATTATTGTTCAATATATGTCTCATGTGAACGTGGCCTTGAGTGAAAAGCCACCATGCCGTACAAAAGGCACCGTAATCATTTGGATACTCAAATCTCGTGCATCGTAGCGTGCGAACTTCCAGCGAGCTTTGTTTTTGCGCCGTTCGTGTTACTACAAAAATTTAGGAAAAACGATGTTCGTGGGATAGAAACTGCATGGTTCGATAGCCCCACGGTCCCTAACATATAGCTTCAACCTTCTTGTGGTCCTAGACGAGTGTATTGGCTAGCCTACAAATTTTCTTTCTTTTCTTTCCACGATGTATGACTACCTCCTCAGAACGAACACGTTTTACAAACTTGGGTGTCAGAAACCCTCGGAAGCCAAGTTACGTGTGTGAATATGTGACACTTATATCTCTAGCAGGTTGTTCACAGTTTGGCTCATTACCCACGGCTCTTTGTACATATGTCTTCTTGCGCACACTTGTCCTTGGGTACCTGTTGCAGTGACGCAATCTTTGTCTCATGCAGTGAGTGCAGCAAGGGAAAGTGGCGGTGCACCACAAAGGACTGTCCATCGCGGTGCGTGGCCAATGGGGATCCCTTCTTCTCGACCTTCGACGGCAAGACATTCGAGTTCAAAGGCCGATGCCCGTACTATTTAGTGCGATCGCAGAACTTCAGCATCGTCCAAGAGACGGGCCACTGCCACGAAGTAGAGGTGTCGTCCGGAAAGGGTTCCAGCGATAATGCACTGGACTGCTCTAAGATGACCACCGTGACCATGACAGACAGCACCATCGTGATAGCCCACGAAAAGGTGAATAATATGGTGACACATAGTGCGTACGCTCTTGCGTTCGCTTGCTTTACTCGGTGTTCTAAGATAATCATCATTTTCTTTCTGAACTCAAAGGTATTCGTAAATGGAGAGAAGGTGAAACTTCCATTTTCTAGCGACATCGTGGTCGTCTACAGGCCTTCCTCTGAAGTAACGCAGGTAAGTGAAAGAACACTTCACATTTATAAAATATTTATGTTCTGATTTGTGGCATGCCCTAGCATTGAGCCGAACTTAAGCGTAAGTGCGAATAAAAATACGTAAGCACGCCTCGCACATGCTTACTTAGACATGGCTTGGATAACTTCTTCGCAGCTTGTATTTAAGCATGCTGTAATAGTGAAATTCAATGCACAGGCATGAATACCTAATTTAACTCAGACATTGATACGGAATGAAGGCATGTGTTGCATTTTTTAAACAATGAAGATTGAAAACTTCTTTATTTGCTCTGAGCCCGACCTGGTTGCTTCATTGTTGCACCACTGGTGCACTGCGGCTGCGCATTATATGTATAGCGTGATAGCCAGAGAGGTGAGGGGAAGGAGCAACATGAATGTTTGTGAATTTCGTGTCTGCCATGAAAGAAAATGATAATTGTAAACAACCAACATTACACCTTGAACTAATGCTGAGCATCATCAAGACGTTTCGAGGTAGGAGGTGTTCACTGAAAGAATCATATTTGCTTTCAGTAGCTATAGGCCATGTGAATGAAAAGTAACCAATAAAGCAGCCTGATGGTAGCTGTTGAAAGGTATTCAACACGTTTGTGAGTGTCAAGTGCTGATAAAACGCAGTAAAAGAAAACTAAAATAGGGTTGAAAGGGATGACAAGATGACAGCATCCTCCCTTCTGCGCCTAACATTGTTTAATTTTCCCCTGAGTTGCGCTGAACCCTCAAAACGTCACGAGATATCAACTCGACCGAACTGCGACTGCTGTGAAATTCGATGTTGATTCTATAGTAGGACACACCTCACGACTGACGGAGTGCGCCGCCGTGCTATGTGCCTCCCGCTCTGAGATGCCTGCCGCTCACTGCAGGCCTCCTTCTCCAACGGCATCGTGCTGCAATGGAACAGGAGGGGGCGCCTGCACATCGACAGCCCCGCCAGCTTGAGCGGCCAACTGCAGGGACTGTGCGGCACCAACAACCGGAACCAGAAGGACGACTTCCTCACGCCAGCTGGCGACGTGGAAGGAAACGTGCGCACGTTCGTCGACAAGTGGAAGGTGGACGCTTCGTGCGACGAAGAAGACGGCGTCGAGGAGCACCCCTGCGAGCGGTCGCCGCAGAGGGCGTCGCGGGCCAAGGACCTCTGCAAGGAGATCCACGGGGACGCGTTTAAAGGTTCGTATTAGTGACTTGCGTTGGTTAACAAGGTGCTCCTATTTCATTCGCGGTTTGCAATAAACTGTAGAGAAAGAGAGACCGGGGGGAAGGGGAGATGGAGAGATAAAGGAAAAACAGAAAGCTTAACTATAAGGAGTATCCAGTTTGATATTCTGTACTCGGGAAAGAGAAAGGGTTTGTAAAGAATGAAAAAAGGCGAAGAGTGTGGGAAAATACTGCAAAATCATGACTATAACACTACCCAAGAGTGGTACACCAACATTGTCCAACAGTCCCAACTTGTTTGGTCCACTTTCTGAAGCAAACCATAACAATACCCTCAAAGCGGCTCACGTTGAGAGAGAGAAAGGCAGGGAGGTCAGCCAGAGTTTTAGTATCCGGTTCGCTACCCTGCACTAAGGGGAGGGGGAAGAAAGATGAGAAGGCAGGTGAAGAGAAAAGTAGACGCACGATAAAGAAATCGCAGAAGTGGGGTTGCTATACGCTATTAAAACCAGGTAGGCCAGTGCCCTGGGATTTAGGTCTCATGGTTGTCTAGCTGGCCTAGTGTGTCTAAGAGAGCTAGCTGCTTTTTCGGAGTTAAAGCAGATGCACTGACATATAAGGTGTGTGATTATTTATCATGCCCCGTAGACCACATATAACGGGCTATAAACCATTCAAATAATAAATGATAAGGCTTCTGAGAAGGCGCTTCAAGTTGTAACATTTTGGTAATAAAATTCTGGTATGATTTGGCATGAAGAACTTTATTGGGTTATGCAGATCAACCTCGGGTCGACGCTGATCAGATATCACGAAATTTTCTTGTCAGCGAGAATTATCGTTGAAGCACTGCTACGAGCCCGATATGTCACTAATACTTCTTTCTTGTTTTGTTGTTTTTCTGTTCATTATTTACTAAACAAAGTTTCTAATACGTATAAGCTTGTGTTGACGATATTAACACACATAAATGCCGAGCAAACGTAAAAGAAAAGGAAAGCGGCCATGGCCGGACAAATGCAGTTTTTTCTCGAAGCGATAGTACTAAACTTTTGTATTTTATGTATTGTATAATCGCACTGCACTATACATATAACCATCATGACACTCTTTACTGTATTTTTCTCTTCTATTATCTACTGAGGTGAATAGCTGCAGCCTAGAGGATGATTCTCGTAGCCGACCCCTCGTCCTCTTCTGCAATCTCTCTCTCTTTCTCTCTCTCTGTACTATTTCAATGTATAAGGACGTAGCCTGCCTTCATAAACATGATCATCATAAACACTTACCCGATCAAGCTTATACATTATCAAAAATGAGTAATACTGACACCCCGCTAGTTCACTAAATATCACAGATTAACGTCAATGAACCATAGCCAGTTTTTCTTGTGGTTGGTGCGGGATGTTGTCTCGTAGACTGCTGTCGTGCTTCTCGTGTAGGAAGCGCAAATAATGTAGATACAGTCGCACCCAGCAGAAGTTGCAACATTCTGTATGTGGTAAAAACGACGCTGACTCTTCGTGGTGGCGCTTAGATAAAAAACAACGTCGCAAACACTGTTCCGACTCCTGGCAATCGCAAAATCTATTTCACGTTTGCCAGCGTCACACCGCAAGCTTGGGGCCCCTCAATCATGGCCACCGTGTCGCAGCTCGCATTGAGCGCCACTGTACCCTGGCTCAAGTTTCTCTGAAGGATGGAATCGGGAATTGATAATTTTATCTCGTTGACGAGCAGCGGTAAAAGTAAAATATGCTATTACTGACTACAACGTTAGCTTTCTTTTGCGATGAGATATCGGGACGGGAACAGCGCCTGACGCGCGCAAGCATAGCAACGAGGTGTTTCCTCTTCACCCGAACGCTGGTTGCCTAATCGCAGAGTGTCAGCTGCTGGTGGACCCGGAGCCGTACTACAAGGCGTGCCTGCACCAGACGTGCGCATGCCGTGGGTCGTTGAAGGACTGCGTTTGTCCATCGCTGGCCGAGTACGCAGCCGAGTGTGCCCGGAAGGGCCGTCTCACGCAATGGCGCCGTCACGTCTCCCTTTGCAGTGAGTATCCCGAACAGCCAGGTTCACTTTTCTGTACGTTGCCTTGATACGCACCTAATTTATACTGCATTGAGCATTTGGGGCGTCACCGGCGGAAGACGCTATTTAGCGTTTATGGGTGCTTTATAAAAGTACGACGATGAAAAAAAAATAAATAAAACCACTAACTTACACGCTAAGACGTGACACGAGCTCCACACGAACTTACACGTTCTCCACACGAACTTACATTATAACAAAAGACAAAAACTTTATTGCCAAGCAAATGCGTAGTCAGAAAGTTTTTTTGTTTTTTTAAGGAGCGGGGGGAGGCGGCTTCAAGCATACTTTATGTAGGTTCGTGCGTGCTTTTGAATGTGTGCCTGTATATATAGGCCGGCACTATCGAAAAATTTTGAGGGGTGGGAGGTGGGGTTAGAACACCACAACTTTCCCGTGGCTACACCCATGTTGCCAACTATCACACGGAATCACTGTCCTGTTGAATATTCTTGAACTTCATGTTAAGCGGTTATTGATATGAGATATATTTTCAAAGGAAACGTTTTTATTAGTATGCAATATGCTTACATGCACAGTCGAAAGCCTAACGTGAAGGTAAAAATCGTTCATTAGTGTTTACGAATGTTAACTACCAAATCAGTGTCCTTCTCGGGAACTATCTAACGCTTGCACTTAGGACGGCATCAGTATCTATTGCCTCCTTTGCAGGTGATATTTACAGGGTGACTTAATTTAACGTACTTTAGAACTTGCATAACGTTAGAAATTCAGAAGTTTATTCTATATAATAATAATATACAGTATTTGCAAAAATGACATTCTTATGACAGCCGCTGCGAGCGGCGCTCACGTTGATGGTGCGCCGTACGCTGTCTGGTGTATTTAATGTAATCGTATTGCCACTGTGACGCAACCTGCCAACATGCATGAAATTCATCTTTATAATCCTATAACGTCTACGTACTTCCGTTATGCCTTGACTGATCGTGTAACTGAACACCGCATTTTTCCTAGGCATGAGGTGTCCCAGTGACATGAAATGGAGCGAGTGCGCACGGCAGAAAAGCTGTTTCGAAGTGGCTCTGGGCGAAACGGCAAACTCGACGTGCGTGGAAGGCTGCGTATGCAAGGACGGCTACGAAAAGGACCAGCTCTGCCTGACGGCTGACTACTGCTCGTGCCTTCACAAGCATAAGCTCTACGCTCCGGGAACGATGCACAAGATGAACGGCCAGCTATGGTAAGGCAGTCCGTCTCGGTGGAACAGTTGCTATACGCTGCTCGGCTGCTGATCCAAAGGTCGCTGTTCGATCCCGTTTTTCGGCGGTCGCATTTCGATAAAGGTGAAATTGTAGAGGCGCGTGTATTGTACGATGTCCGACTGCTTTAAAGAACGCCGGATCGTCGAAAGTTCCGGAGCCATCCACTAAGGCGTCTCTTATAATCATCTCGTGGTTTTGGGTTGTCGAATGGCCGATATTATTATTAGTATATTACCATTAGCTAGTTAGCTAGCATGATAAAGTAAGTGCCACTTTACGAGGATGTAGAAAGCAAACTGATATAGACGCAACGATACTTTCTACTTGGACGTAGTTACAGATCTCGATGCGCAGATCGAAATTGTTTTCATCCCCATCGGGCATGATCGTTATTGAATGTGACCTTGTGGCAGCACCTGATCCCGATGAATCCTAATCCGGATCAGCGCCAATCGCTAAAAATATCACCCGTCTGTCATCGGAATTAGATTACATTGATTCATCCTCGTCGTCGTCGTCGTAGTAGTAGTAGTAGTAGTAGCAGTAGTTGTAGTAGGAGTTGCAGTAATAAAAGTAGTAGTAGTAGCAGTAGTAACAGTAGTAGTATAGTCACGCAGGACGTTGCCCAGAGGGGAGTGCATAAAAAATAAGTAACACGAATGCGTGATGATGATGATGCTTGAAGTGATGACGATTATTTTCTTATGCACATCGCTTTCGTTTGCAGCCGTAATAGAAGCATGCGTTTATTGTACTAGAATATCAACGCTCGTCTCGAGTGAGTGGACAGAGGGAATAATCCACTGCCACCCTAGAAAGTTCCCTATAAGTGCTGCTGTGAATGAGCATACCGTCGCGCGGAATCCACATTGCTAAACCTGAAGGATAGAGATACCATAAAGACATATTTTCTGAAAATTTTGCAGAAGTTTAGAAGTAAAGTTTAATGACTGATTCGAAGGGGTGACATCTTCACTGTCCGGTTGTTTCCGTGGCGTATATCTGATTAGAGTGTTTTTTGCATGATCAGACAAGCATATATATACCGGGGCAGCAAGCGAAATTAAGAGATTTCAGTGGTGCATATTGCTTGATCGAAGATATCTCCAAGGCAAGAATGAAACATAGAAAAAGTCACCGCGACAAAGCAAGAGATCATATCTCTGTTTTTTTTTTTTGAAGTGTACATCGACAATGAAGGTAGAATCTACGTCCTCGATCGTGAAGTCGCGCTTACTCAATCTTTCATGGATGGTAAATCTGTTGTATGACAAGATATAGTAATGTTACTGCAAACAGCCAGCATTAAATCCTTAACTCTGTAGCTCGGAGTGCTCTAAGGCGCTCTCAGTTTGACCTCCGAGCGCGACCGAGATCGAATCACGTTACTCCCGCTTGAATTCTGTTTGCAACATAAGATGCGGAGTCTGCGACTGCTTTGGCGAGCGGCTGCACGTTGAGCTGAGAGATGCTCCGTTCTCTGGCTTGTATCAAGAGCGGGCTTCTTATTGTAGTACTTTTAGAGCGTAGTTTCGTCTCGCCAAACTATATGTACTATTAGTTTCCCGTGCTATTTTCAGTGCAACAATGTGGGTGCCAGTACTGTGCCTCAATGCGCGCGAGAAAGCACGCAACTAGGCACCTTAGGCGTAGCTATCTTTTTTGCACCTGTACTGCACAGTGAAAGTAAGCTCAGTGCGGTTGTGTTTTCAGAGTAAGTAAGCCGATATGAATACAAAAGAGAGAGATAAAAATTGGTTAATGAAAGTTGATGTCATCAGAGCAGGGAGTGTCATCAGTACAGGACGTGATAAATAAAGTGGAATGCGTGAGTATGCTTTGAAAAACAAGAAAAAAAAAAGACAAACTACCTAGTGTATGTTACATGTTTGCGCACTTTATAGCGCTCTGATGTGTATAACTCAAACACTTTTGTCGAAATACCGCGTGAGCTAATATGCTAAAATTGTTGATAATGTCAAACGGGGGGGGGGGGTATAATGTCGATATAACTAAATGAGGGTGCCAGTAAGCAGCAGTGCACCTAGCTTTTTTTATATGTAATTTTTGCATCTATTATTTCGCCACGATAGTGCAATAATACTCTCAGAATCCGAAACAATGCGCAAAGTCGAATAAGCGTGCTTCTTGCATCGGATAAGGAATGGACGAGAAAATGAAATGATAGAAATTCCCAGCATTCAGCTGCAGTCGTATGAATAACAGGTTTTCATTTCATTAGGACACCTTCATCTCGCGAGAATCTGCGTAAAATTTTTTTTGTTGCCAGCGTTTACAACTTATAGCTTGTTTTTCTCACTGGTTTGCTCAGGTGGTTGAGATAGAAGCCTTGCGTAGATTCGGTCCATTCTGCAATCACAAAACCAGCATAAACTTTTCTTCAACGCCGAAGGTCTCCGTTTGAGAAATCTGTATGGGTTTCCTTCCATTAGTAGTGGTAGTGACAGCTCTCATTATTTCAAAAGCTATACAATCTGAGTGTTCTCTTCAAGTAGAGCACGCCTACGTTCTTGACACTTCCCCATTAATTCTTTCTGATCCCTCGTCCCCCGCCATGGTGGTTTGGTCGTTATGAAACTCTAGTTCCCACCTGAAGGTCACCGGATCGATCACAGCGGCCACGCCTCAATGAAGGCGAAATTGTAGGGATCCCTGTACTTCGATTCCGGTGCACGCTAAAGTACATCAGATGGCGTAAATTTCCAGAGTCCTCCACTACGTCGTCCCTCGTAATCGTATCGCGGTTTTGGGGTACAAAACGCCAACAGTTACGATCTGGCGCTGTTCTTCGGCTGCAGTGAGTGCGACAATGGTGAGTGGGACTGCATGGACGAGGAGGGGGGCCACTCGCCCGACTTGCCGCCCCCGAGCATCTTCGAAGAAAGGAGCTCGTCGCAGCGGTGCGCCCACGACGCGAACTCCGAGTACACGGAGTGCCTGGATGCCTGTCCCTTGACTTGCGACAACGTCAACGCAGATGCTTCGTGCGGCAACAACGAGTGTCAACCCGGCTGTCGGTAAGATTTCACAGAACGCGGCAGTGATAAGTTGTGGGGAACCGAGAAATGGAGATAAAAGATGGGTTGTGCATCGGGCGTTGTATAGTTGACACACCCGGTGAGAGTGAGACTAGAGATCACGGTCGAGGCCTCTGAAGATAATAAAACTGAACTTTTCTTTCATCCGCTTCACTCCTCCTTCCGCCTCTTGCGCTATCTAGTCTGTCCTATATAACATTACTGCACTGTGTCGCTTTACAAGGAAATTCTATCGGGCGCTCTTCGCACACATGGCAAGCGTGAGATTAGAGAGCAAGGTTGAGGCTATATAAAAATGTACTTGAAAGTAAACTTGTCTTTCATACATTTTGAGTGTCTTTCCAACTTTATACGTTATCAAGTATGTCCTCTATCACATTAGGGGGGTGTATCGCTTTACTTGAGAATTCGCTGGCATTTGTGATTAGGAAATCTGCAAGCATGTCTGTACTGTTGATAGAAATGCGAAAGAATGGTCCCATTACCGCACATTTTTTTGGGTATACACATAAATGACTAGGCTCCCCTACACTTTTCGCTGTACCTGCCAGGTACCCTAAAGTTTGTCTTGAGCTAAGCTTTATGCAAGCTGGTTCAATGGCTTCAAGAACAAAACGCAATGTTTGAAAATAGCCTAAAGGACAGATATTTAATTTGCGCTTCAGTGCGCAATAATGAATTCCAGCAAAAAAAAAAAACACCATGAAATTCAGCTGTTAAAACATATACATGGACGCATACGTTCGGTAGGTTTCTGAAACACTTGCTGAAAACGAACTTGCTGTGTCACCGATGAACCAATGCCATGCTGTGCCCCTTTGCAGATGCAAACTTGGCTTCATACTGCAGCCGTCAACCAATAGCTGCGTTCCTCAAAGTGAATGCGGCTGTAAGCATGGCGGCAAGGTCTTCCCACCGAGCTCGGAGATTCAAAGGGACTGCAACAAGTGGTGAGTGACAAGGAAATTGCGCACTTGATGCACTGCTATCCCTCGACGTAGTGAATAGGCAGGTGACAGCTCCAGAGGCTGGCTCGCGCAATCAATCAATCAATCAATCAATCAATCAATCAATCAATCAATCAATCAATCAATCAATCAATTGACCAATCAATCAATTGGTTGATTCATCAATAGTCAATCAACCAATGAATCAACTCATCATTCAATCAACAAACTAATTGACTCATCAATCAAACAACCAATCGATTAATTAAGATATCAATCAATCAACCAATCGATTTAAAAATCAACCAACCAATCAATTTCCTAATTATTCGGTCAGTCGGTTTATTATTATTCAGTCAATCGACTTATTAATTATTCAGTCAGTAGGTTGATTAATCAATCAATCAGTTGATCCATCATTTAGGCTTCAATCAATCGACCCATTCATCAATCAATCAGTCAACCGATTCATTAATCAGCCAATCAATAAATAGAATTATTCGTCAATCAATCAATCAATAGATACATTCATCAATCAATCTCTCAATTTATTACCTATTCAATTAATCGATTCACTATTTAGGTCTGCATTGTTTGACTTATCAATTATTCAGTCAATTGAGTCGATAACTAATCAGTCAATCAATATATTCACAATACATCAACAAATCAATCGACTCAATAATTATTCAACTAATCAATCTACTCATGAACTAATCAATCTGTCAATTGAATAATTAATGTATTCACCAATCAATTCATTGTTTATCAGGCAGTCGACTTACTAAATATTCAAGTGATAGATTTAATAAATGATGAATTGATAGATGTATTAATTATTCAACTGATTGATTCATTCATTATTGAATCAGTCAATTTATAGTCACTCAATCACTCAATTGATTCATTATTCAATCATTCAATCATTTCAATAATCAATCAGTCAATCGACTAATTCATCAATCAATCAATCAATCGACTCATTCATCGGTCAACCAAATACTCGATTCATTTATAAACCAATCAGTCAATCGATTCAATCATCAATCAATTAGGCAGTCAATTGATTCATCAAACAATCAGTCTATGTATTCATTGACTAATCAATTGGTCAACCAATTAAATATTCAATCAATCAGCCAATCGACTTATTCATCAATTAATTAGTCAATCGACTTATTAATCAGTCAATCAATCAATCGATTCATTCATTAATCAATCAGTCAATCGATGAATTAGTCAGCCAATTAATAAGTTGATTGAATGATCAATTGATCATTGAATTGATTCATTATTCAGTCAATCAATCAGTTTATTAGTTAGTCGATCAACCGTTTCATTAATTATGTAGTTATTCAATCAATAATTATTTACCTAATTAACAGATTCGTTATTTAACCGATTAGTCTATTCGTTATTTAACCAGTCGATCAAGTTTTTAACTAGGCAGTCAAATGACTCGTTCATCAATCAATGAGTCAGTGAATTCATTATTCAGCCAAATAATTAGTCGCCTAATTAGTCAATTATTTATAACTCGATCAATCAATGATTCAATCAATCAATCAGTCAATTCATTATTTAGTCAATCAATCAATCAAGCAAACCATCAATAATTATTCATGCAGTCAATTAAATATCCAATCAACAAATAGACTTATTACTCATTCAATCAATATTTCAATCAATCAATTTATTACTCAATCAGTCAATTTATTATTCAATCAACCAGCTATTCAATCTATCAGTCTATTCATTAACAATTTGATCAATCGATTCATTCATCAATCAATCAGTCTATATATTATTCAATCAATCATTCAATCGAATCAATGATCGATTCATTCGTCAATTAATCAGTCAGTCGATTTCATTAATCAATCAATCAGTCCTTCGATTATTTATTACTTCAATCAATCAATTCGACAATCATCGATGCGTATTCAATTTATCAAATATTTAACCAATTGATTCATTAACTAATCAATCAATTGATTCATTAATCTTTCAATCGGCTCAACAAGCAGTATAATAACCAACCAATTTATTATTTATCAGTCATTGTATTGAATAACCAATTGATCGAATAATTCATTATTCAATCAATCGATTAATTGAACAATCAGTTAATCAATCGAACATTATTTACCCTAATCAATAAATTAATTCATTACTAATCAATCAGTCGACTCAATAAATTACCAATCAATCGATTAATTACTCAATCAGTATACCGACCTAATAATCAATCAGTCAAAGAATCAAGCAATTAACAAATCAAATAAATAATGAATAAACAATAAATGTAATAATAATCAAACAGTCAACTTAGTGATCACTCATGCATTCAATAATCAGTCAATTCATTATTCAATCAATCAATCAATTCATTATTCAGCTGGATATTCAAGCAATAATTCAATCCATTCATTAGTCGATCATTTCATTATTCAATCAGTCAACCAATCAATTAGTCAATTTATGTTCCATTAATCGATTCATTATTGAACCAACCAGTCGATTCATTATTATATCTATCAATTCATTCATTCATCGATCAATCGAATCAGTTAATCAATCAATCGAATCAGTTAATCAATCAATCAATACATTCATCGATCAATCAGTTAATCAATCAATCGAATTATTAACCACTCGTTATTCAATTCGTTATTCACTCAATCAATTGATTGATTATCCATCAAATGACCAATAATTAGATTCATCAATCAAGTTTTCAATGGATGCAGTATTAATTCAATCAGTCGAATAATTAATTACCTATGCATAAGTCGATTTATTTATTATTAAGTCAATTGATTCATTATTATTCAATCAATTCACTGATCAATCTGTCAATTCAATAATAAATCAATCAATTGATTCACTGACAAATGAATCAATTGATTGATTATTCCATGAATCAATCACTGCTTCAATTAATAATTGGTATATCAACTAGTCCATTATTTAACCGATCAACCCGTAAATAATAATCAATCAAATATATATTCAATCATTCAAACTTACAATTAAATTATTTTTCAATCAATCAATCCAATAATAATGAATTAGTCGATTCATTATTGATTCTAAACTGAATCAAATAGTCAACCAGTCATTCAATCAAATGAATAGTCAATCAATCAAACAATTAATCAATTATTCATTAGATTCAATATTATTTCAATCAATCGATTCATTACGTAATTATGAATTAATCTATTTATCAATAATCAATCAACCAATAGACGTTTTATTCAACCAATTATTGATTAATGAACCAACCAATCAATCAATTCATTGCTCAACAAATGAACCAAATTATTTATAGTTAATAAATAAATTGATTAATTCATCAATCAGTCAGTCAATTTGTTAATCAGTCAATCAATCAATTTGTTGTTCAATCAATTCATTATTGCATCAACTAATCGATTTATTATTCAATAAATCAATCATTCAGTCGATCATTATTCAATAAATCAATCAATCAGTCGATCATTTATTACTCAATCAATCAATTTAATATTTATTCCGGCAATCAATGAATCAATCAATTGATTTGTTAGTCAATCAATCAGTCGATTCAGTAGGTAATCAATCAATGAATGCATTAATAATTCGATCAATCAATTAAATAACTAAGTATTTAGTCAACCTGGTCACTAGATAATCAATCGATTCAATAAACAAATATTCAATCAATCGATTCATTAGTAAAGCAATCTATGCATTACTTAATCATTCATTCGATGCGATAAATATTTAATCAATCGACCAATATTCCATCCTATCAATTAGTTAAATAATCAATCAAATAATTTTTCACTCGGTCACTCATTTATTATTAAATCAATCAGTTATTCAATCAATCCATTTTAATCAATTAATCAATTAAATACTCGATCGATCATTGAAATACATATTCAATCAATGGATTATTTAATCAACCAACCGACCTAATAAATATTATGTCAATCAATTTATTAGGTAATCAATCAATCAGATCAGTAATCAGTCAATCAATTTATATTAGATCAATTAACCTATTGTTCCATCTATCGATTTGTTTATTAATAACCAGTCAATCGATTCTTCAAACAATCAATGAATCAAAGAAATAATTATTTAATCAATAAGTAAGTCAACCAATCAATCAGTAAGTCAATCAATCAATTCAATATTCAATCAATCAGTTAAGCGGTCAATCAATAAATAAATAAATCAATGTGTCAGGCAACGCAGCTACTCAGCAAAATTTTAAGCCCCACGAGAAGACAGGACGAAAGCAGAAATATAGAAACGTAGACGCTGCTGCATCCTTTCTTTTTGCACTGTTAAAGAATTTTGCGGAATCTATGAACCGACTAGAGCAACAACATACCTTGCTAAAGCAGACAAGTCGCGCTAAATAGCTTCGAAGTTTCATTGCGAGACAATTTCTCCCACGTGCTTCTTTTTCCCTTGGAAAAATATAAGCTGACAAGGTTAAGAATATCCACGATCTTCCTTCTCTTGGAAACAGTACGTGCAGCGGAGGCCTATGGGAGTGTGACAAGAAAGACTGCCCCGGAGTGTGTACCGCCTGGGGCGAGTCGCACTTCAACTCGTTCGACGGGCACATCTACGACTTTCGATCCGACTGCGAGCTGATGATGGCCAAAGGGAGACTGTCCGACGGCAGCCAGTTCGAGGTCACCCTTCAGAGCATGCCCTGCGCTGCGGGAGACAATGTCTGCAAGAGGACGGCCAGGATCGTTGCCCGTGAGTTGGCTGCACGCGCCGTGGTGCCATAGGCGATGTTTTCGATATCGATACGACGCACTCCCGGTCTTGCATGGCATATAACCCTCAGTATAGGCGCACATGACATGCAATTTACATGGAGCATCAATTAGCGTACCGTAAACGAATATTTTTTACTAGAAAAGACAGTCTTTAGTAAGTAAGTTGTACGAGTATACTGATTCTGAAATTTACGTCCCACATTTTATCAAGATCAGCTTATTTTCATTATGTGCATGGTTGCCATAATCATTTAGCTGCCCACCACTGATGTATTCATTATTTTTTAGGTAATCAGATAGTTCTAAAAAAGCATGTCGGCGTTTTAAGCGTCCAAGGAATGCTTGACATTTACTATTCAATCGCTCAAGTCAGTATGTAACCTACGGCGTGATGCTTCCAGAGCCACTGAGCAAGAAAGAGAGGATACGTTCTATTAAAACAAAAGTTTTAGGAAGCTCTTTTTTATTAAAGGGGGCTTCATTGCTTTGCTTGAATCCGCGAGATGTGTGTGCTGGCGCGAAACACTCGTGCTAACCGTGGAAGTCAGAACTCCACCCTGACATCTTCTCCTGGGCCCTTACTGTAGCAGATGAACCTGATGAACAACAAGACGTTCAACCTTCCGATGAAACAAGAGAGAGAGAGAGATTTTGTTAGGAAAACAGATTTTTGCTGACGTCTATATATCGCTGGCATGCTACTCTGTATTAGGGACGGAGAGGGGGCTAAAATATTTCAATAGAGAAGGAAGAAAAATACGAAAAAGGAAGATTTCGTTCCAATGAAACAAATGCTTTGTCATTCTCATTTCTATCTGGCGTGAATGTGTGAGCAAATATTTTTGCTTGTTCTAGGTGGCCAGGAACTGATTACGTTGGGTGCCTCGAAGAATCTGCCGGTCGTGAGGTTCGGCCCGGGCTACTTGCTACGGGAGACTACTTTGCACATGACGGTGTTCACTGACGTCGGTCTCATCGTGCAATGGGACAAAGGAACTACGGTGTCCTTGGCCGTGCAACCTACTTGGAGGGGAAGGGTAAGAGAAAGCGGTGCAGTTCCCCGTCCAATAAGTGAACACGAATGGCTGCTGATGTACTTCGATTGAGTTGGGAACGTAGGCAAACAATGTTTCGTCGCCATCTCCCTAACAATATGTGGCTGAGTAGGGAGAGCTTCTGGTGGCGTTAGAAAACTAAAGTAACGAAATAAATAAAATTTTCTGACACTCATGGGTACAGTAAGGCCGCAATAGGTTGATTTGAAGGCTCATTAACATTCCAACTCGCCTTCCAGGCAGGAAGGCTGACAGCACTGACACTAGGGACAAGAGAAGCGAATAATTAATTTAACGAAACGCGTACTTTATTTTGTTCGTGTGATAGAGTTTCTGCGCTAGTGGGAACCGGCAATCCGCCAAATATTTCGTTTTGCCTCAAAGCATGCAAGAGTCACTCGGAAATGCTTTGGTTACAGTGTGTGCACCAGAACTGCTTCAGCATTTCTCCGATACTTTCATATTCGTGTGACAGAAACCACGTCGTGCAATATAAACACGACTTACACATTATATTAACCAACTATTTCACGCTCATTTTTCTCGACGTGAATTTTGGCTTGCTTTATGACCGCGTTCGCCTACTTGTTCAACGAGTGCGAGCCTTTCTCGACCTCTCGTCGTCTTTCGTGGCAGGTGAAAGGGCTGTGCGGCAACTTCGACGGCGACCAAACCAACGACTTCCAGACGCCCTCCGGCGGCGTGGCGGAAGGTGACGTCCGCGTCTTCGGGGACGCCTGGAAGCTGCAGGAGGCGTGCCGAAACAACGGCTCCTTGGTTACCGACGGCCACGAGGTGTGCGAGCACAGGCCGCACCGCACTGCTTGGGCCACGCAGCGCTGCGAGGTGCTCAGGTCTCCCCTGTTCGAGCCTTGCCACACGGAAGTGGACGTCGATCCTTACTTCGAGAGGTATATCGAATACTGACTATTAATTACAACTCTTTTGTCATGGCACAAATGTCGGTGACAATATTTCCACGCGCGCTCCTTCTTGTATTTCTATGTGACCAGTTTTTGTTACAGGAAGTACAACTGCCGCTTTTTGTAAACTTTTGGAAACCTTCTAGATTATATTAGACTCTTCTGATGGACTTTGAAAGAAAAAACACGACTGGAGTAGGACGGAGACGAGAAGACACAAACACGCATAGCCTCTCCGTCCTGTTCGAGCGCTGTTTCATCATGTACCAACTAGCCCAATTCAAGACGATAACACACTCCTTCTGATAGGCTTGAGCGTGTAAATGCGAAAGGCTTACTTTATTCTGGAGCTAGGGATGCCGTCAGAGGTAAGACTCCAACGTTCGATGCCACGTGTAAAATGCGGACGTGCCTAAACCACAGATCAGATTACCGACGGGTGGCATTCTCTTCGCCGCGGTATCAGTGTGCGACATATATCGCTTGTAGTACGGCTTCTCGTTAACCGCCCAAATAATTCCGTGTTAAATCCGCTCACTACTACCTTCTTTATTCTCACGAACACGTGACTGTATCACAGTGTTCTTGCGTAATAGAAATTTGAAGACAAAAAAAAAAAAAACTGGCTATTCAGGCATAGCAGTGTTACGGCTGATCTTTTGCTAACGTATACTCGCGCTTACAAAAGCACAGCTTGGCAGTTCTTTCAAAGCAAGTGAATTTTCAGAAGCTGTCAAATTTGAGTTTATTGATTAACAAGATTGCGAGAAGCAGGCCCGATTATCTATTGAACTGCCAGCCACAGCGTCCCGATCCTCCAAGTTCCAGAATATGCTCTCGTGCGCCCCCTTCATTTTTCCTTCAGATTTCCTACCAAAACAGATGAGGACGTTCTGTCTCCACAGCCTAAATGTCCTCGCGTCACCCTTGTTTCTAATAACCGTATTTGGACAGCCGGACTTTTGTCACCGTGAAGATCTGAGCTGCGCGGTGAAATAGTGAGGTCTTCGTTTGGCACGGAATGTGGTGAAGTCGCTTACGCGTCAACATTCCTACGATATCGACGTTTGCTTTTACACGAACAAAACAAATATTTTATACGTGCCTACGAGAAACTCGTACGCACGCTTTTCTCGAATCTTCGGGATGCTCTCGCATGTGTGATGCTCGTGCGCAGCAAATCAAAATGCCACTTGCCGTTCTGACTGCGATACAAGAGTGAGATATGTTTTGCGAGAGTACCGAGATGGAAACGCCATTTCGAGAATGAACTGAATGACAGATAATTATAATGCTTTTCACTGCTTTTCAAGGAACTTGCCTTTTTGTATGCACACACAATCATTGCAGTTATAGGACATTCATACGTAAATGTTTCGGAAATTATGAGTAATTCAGAGGGCGGTGGTGAAAACTTATTTGTTTAGTCACCGGACGTTCTCTGCGGAAAAGCTCCGAGTTTTTGGCTTGCGAGGAGGAAGGCGGGGTAGTGGTAAGTCCAGGGCTCCACTTGCAACAGCCGCTCTGCGGGCCCGGTCGGTCAGACTCAACTAATCTTCCAGGTTCTCGCTAGCCAGCAGCTATTCCCATCGTTCCGCAGTGGGATTCTGTACTGGTGCTAAGGCTGTAATGGCATGACATTCCCACGTGACGTTGTCCGGGGAACGCTTACATTCTTCTCACCTTTCTATTGATTGATGCCATCCAAACACTTTACTTCCGCACAAAATTTACTTTTCATGCACGCCATAAATTTGCTCGCGCTCCTTCACTCTCTTGCATGTCGTTCTGGGGTCATTTTTCAGGTGTGTGCAAGATGTGTGCGGCTGTGATTCGGGCGGCGACTGCGAGTGCCTGTGCACCAACATCGCGGCCTACGCCCACGAATGCAGCGCCCAGGGCATCCACATCAAGTGGCGGTCGCAGTCGCTTTGCCGTGAGTGGAAGCTCCTCCTGTTCGAATTGTTGATCGCGAACTGCCACTCATTCCAAATACACGATAGTCAGTTTTTGAATAGAGGCCTCAGTCGTTATGGGTGCCCCAAAGACATAGCGTCAAGGTTAACACGCATGCGCGAGACCCGAACAGCGTTGATGTTTTGCTTTGGGGACGCTTTTTCCTCAAATGTGGTGGCAACTCCGGAGCCTGCTGCGAAAGCTGTGCTTCAAACAAACATGGCCGCACCCACCGAAGTGTCGGCTAGATTAGCCTTGAGTAAGTAGAGTGTCTAGAGCGCCGCAGACCCTGGCTGAAAACTCTTATTTTCCGCTAGACTTCAAGCGAGCCAACGCTAAGGGGCCCCACCGTAGTAGTCTAGTGGCTAAGGTACTCGGCTGCTGTCTCGTAGGTCACGGGATTGAATCCCGGCTAAGCGGCTGCATTTCCGATGGAGGCGGAAATGTTCTAGGCCCGTGTGCTCATATTTGGGTGCGCGTCAAAGAACCCCAGGTGGTCCAAATTTCCGGAGCCCTTCACTACGGCATCTCTCGTAATCATATGGTGGTTTGGGGCGTTAAATTTAACATATCATTACTTGGCACTCTACTATAAGATAGAAGAAAGCCGTCCCAGTAAAATATCAGGATGGAGGTCAACGCGACCTGTTTGTTCAGAACAAATGTTCGACGAGAAGAGAAGACGGGTCACAAAAAGATGTAAACGATTCAAAGTAATTATATATTACTATGGGAGGGCTATGTGTAGCCGTCCCCGAACGCACACTGAGCAGGCACTTGGAGTGATGTGTTTAGAAACAAATTTACTGCATATCCACGGAGTGAATGATGATGGGTGGAGCGAAGTGTCGGAGGATTTATCCATAAACCGTGAATCCTCCACCCGTCTGCCTGCCTGCCTGCCTGCCTGCCTGCCTGCCTGCCTGCCTGCCTGCCTGCCTGCCTGCCTGCCTGCTGACTGAGTCATAGAACTAGGCGGTCACATACCAGGAGAGACATACATGTACAGACTCAGGACTTCCGTAATACCAAATTTGGCATATGTGAAGCTGGCGAAACGGCCGCGATCGCATCATCAGTGTGGCATGTAGTCATGTTACATGACACGCATGTCGTGATTATCATGTTTTGATGTGCAATTTCCTATGTCGTCCGTTCGCGTCTCGTACTACCGTGTTTGGTACATGTGAAGCTAGCAAAATGGCCGCGAGTGCATCATGAGCGTAGCATGTAGTGACGTTGTTACATGACACGCATCTCATGTTTATCGTGTTTGCACCAGTATCATACCTTCGTCATTAGTTCACGTCTCGTAATACCGAATTTGGTATAACGGAAGCTAGCGAAACGGCCGCCAGCGCATCATGAGCGTGGCATGAAGTTATATTGTCACATGACACGCATGTCATGATTATCATGTTCGCACCAGTCACATACCTTCATCATCCATTCACGTACTGTAATACCAAATTCGGTATATCTGACGCTAGCAAAACGGCCGCGAGCACGTCATGACCATGGCACGTAGTGATGTTGTTACCTGACACACATTTCATGATTTTCATGTTGGGGTCTGTCGCTTGTGTCCGCCATGCAATCATGTCATACCATACCAGTTTTGAACATGTCATGTGAACGAAACCACCGCAAGAGCTGCAGGACCACAAAATGTAAATCATGACATACATGTCATGGTTTTCATGTTATGACTAGTCAAATATGTTCTTCATACAGTCATGTTATGTCATACCAAATTTGGTATTGATACCATTATCGAAACGGCCAGGAGAGCTAAAAATCGTAGGCGGCTAGATAGATAGATAGATAGATAGATAGATAGATAGATAGATAGATAGATAGATAGATAGATAGATAGATAGATAGATAGATAGATAGATAGATAGATAGATAGATAGATAGATAGATACGCTCAAAGTCGCCGAAGTTCGTTAAGAAATGCTTCGCATTTAAACGCGAGCGCTTCAACATGACTCGCTATGGTTAAACTTAGCTTGCTGCTTCGCGGCGACATCAGCGGGTCATGCGCGGCACGGAGGACATGACTCTAAAGCTTCTCGGACATTTTAATGCAATGACCGTATAACTTTAGTTTTTATTTATTTTTTAAGCATGCCGCAAACGTTCGCACATGGCAGTACACGGCTGCTACTGCTAGATACCGCATCAAAACAACAATTATATGGTTTCCATAAACGCCAACACAGTACATCGAAGAATACGCGGCTTCATTTCGGCGGAATGAGACAAGTGGCTTTGAAAGAGGAAAAAGGCAGAAAAAAGCGCAGTCCCGTTACTGTCTCTCCTAATCGAGGGCCCTTCCACAGTTAATCGCAGGGGAGGGGGGAATGAGAATTAAAGAGACAGAAGAGAAGAGGTAAGAGTAGGGTGGCGAAAAGCATTCGATCACTCGTATCACGCACGCGCGCAAGAAATAAACGCAGCAGGCGCGATATACAGAAATACCCGCCGAGAAGCGGGGGGGAGGGTGAGGAGATGCGCCCGTCAAGAGGAAGGGAGAAAAAAAAGAGAAAAGTAAAAGAAACCACTGGACAAGTGGAAAGAAGTTAGGGCGCTCCCGAACTAATAGTGAAGGGGAGAGAGTGTCTGCTGCAAAGGCTGAATGCGCGCACGTAGAATAGGAAGAAAAAAAAAAGACGATAAGAAGAAAAAAAAGAAGAAAAAAAAAGAGAAAAAGCCGTCAGGCAGCCCGGAGCAGCCCACGGAGCAGCCCGGAGCACCCAAGAAGGCCAGCGGCACAGGGATGTGCACGATTTATAACGGACAAGAGCAGGCTTCTTGATAACCAGGTGAGTCCTCCATGTTGATGCCAAACTGTTGGGCATGAGCCTCGAAGGTGAGGAGGGCCACAGAAGCGAGATTGCGATCATAGCAATCTGGTAGAGCCCTGAGCGCCACTCGAAGTCCTGTAGCAAGAGCAGTGAAGATTCCGCCGAGAAAACTGTAACTGCCGACCTCGCTGTGACGATTGACGGCGTTAAAGTGACGGCCTTAGTCGATACGGGTGCAGACTTCTCCATAATGAGTGAACGATTGGCAGACGAAGTCAAGAAAGTCAGGATAGAGTGTATGGGCCCTTATATCCGAAATGCTGGAGGCCAGATAATGACACCCACGGGAAAATGTACACCAAGGCTCACGATTGAGAATGTGGCTTTTGTAGCCACATTTCTGATCCTACCAGAGTGCTGCAAACTTATGATACTGGGAAAGGACTTCTTAAGAGAGTACGGTGCTGTGGTCAACATACGCGATGGTGTGATCACATTCGCCGCTGACAAGTCTGTGACCCCTGATCCAGACCGAGAACCCAGGGTGTTACGTGTGGTCGACGACGACGTCTGCGTGCCACCACTGTCATGTAGCCTTGTTTCCGTGTGTTGCGGCGTGCACTGTAATGAAGACGCCATAGCCGAACGCATCACTGCCCTTCTTTTTCGCCAAGGCATCGCCATCGCTCGCGGCATCGTCAGCTTAGTGGATGGGCGCGCAGAGGTGCTTCTCACCAACTTCACGATTGAGCGCCGGCACATCGGTAAAGGCACGGCTGTGGCGTAGCTCGAAGAGCTCGACTACTCTCACGACTGTCTTCTAATGCAAGGGGAAGCCACAGCTCAATAGCTTCCACATACACCACCAGTCGATATCGGTCCGAGTCTAACACCGACTAAAAGATGCCGTCTCATGGAGCTGCTCGACTAGTTCAAGGACTGCTTCTCATCGACATCACGAGTGGGTCGAACGCCTTTGACTAAGCATCGCATCATTACGGAAGACACAGCAAGACCGATCCGACAGAACCCATATCGCGTCGATCAGAAAGAACGTGAGGTAATCCAGCAGCAAGTTAAGAAGATGCTAGAGGATGATGTAATCCAACCATCAGAGTACTTCGGCATCGCCAGTGGTACTCGTGAAAAAGAAAGATGGCAGCTTGCGTTTCTGCATCGATTATCGTAAGCTGAACCATGTTACAAAAAAGACGTTTATCCATTACCACGGATCGATGACTCTTTAGACAGGCTACGGCATGCGCGCTACTTCTAGTCAATGGACCTTAAAAGTGGATACTGGCAAATAGAAGTAGATGAGCGCGACAGTGAAAAGACCGCCTTCGTGACGCCAGACGGGCTTTATGAATTCAAAGTCCTCCCTTTCAGTGTGTGTTCAGCCCCAGCCACGTTTCAGAGACTAATGGATACCATTCTGTCCGGCCTGAAATGGAAAACATGCCTTGTGTACCTCGACGACGTGATCGTTTTTTCGGCCACGTTTGAAGAGCATCTAAAGCGCCTACTGTCAGTCCTTCCAGTCATACGGTCCGCTGGACTCACACTCAAACCGGAAAAATGCCACTTCGGCTTCGAAGAACTCCAGTTACTAGGACACGTGATCAGTCGCGAAGGTGTGAATCCTGACCCATATAAAACGGCAGCCATCGCAAAGTTCGCAAGGCCTGTTGATGAGAAGGTGGTCAGGCGTTTTCTGGGTCTCTGCGCCTACTACCGGCGATTTATAGCAGGCTTTGCACACATCGCCTCTCCACTCACCCGCCTTACAAGCCAAGACGTTGCATTTGTATAGGGTGAAGAACAAGAAGCTTCGTTCAACGAGCTGCGACAGCGTCTACAAACTCCACCTGTCCTCGCTCACTTCGACGAGAGTGCCCCAACAGCCATCCATACAGGCGCCAGCAATGTGGGCCTAGGTGCTGTTCTTGTCCAATGCAAAGATGGCGTGGAGAGAGTGTTTGCCTACGCTAGCAGAACGTTGACACGCGCCGAGTCCAACTACTCAACAACGGAGTGCCTGGCTGTCGTTTGGGCAGTTGCGAAGTTCCGCCCGTACTTATATGGCCGTGCTTTCCAAGTCGTAAGCGACCATCACTCTGTTTGTTGGTTGACCAACATGAAATACCCATCTGGACGTTTAGCACGATAG